TTTGTCAAACACTTTTTTTTTTTGGTACCAGGGATCGAACTCAGATCCTTGCGCTTGCGCAGCAGGTGGTGAAACCACTGAGCTAAATCCCCGGCCCTCAAACACTTTTGTTTGAGAACCAAATTGTGAGCAGAAGTGTTCATGAACCAAGGTACTTTGGATTTTTTTCTTCAGTAGTGAATCTGGGATCTTTGATCTTTGCACTGATTATATCAGCCTCTTTTTTTTTTTAAGGCAGGGTCTCCCTTTGTAGTTCAGGCTGGCCCTGAACTCACTATGTAGCCCAGGCTGGCCTCCAATGACCTTGTGGTGATCCTCCTGCCTCAGCCTCCCGAGTGCTAGGATTACAGGCGAGCGGCTCAGCCTTTTTTTTTGACCGGGTTAGAACTTGGGACCTTGCGCTTTCACTTAGGACCTTGCACTTTCGAGGGAGACGGTGGCACCACTGAGCTAACTCCCCAGCCCACCCCCCCTTTTGGGACAAGAGTTTCACTAAATTGCCCAGGCTGGGCTTAAATTTGTGATCCTTCTGCCTCAGCTTCCCAGAGTTCTGACATACAGGTGTGCACCGCTACACCACCCTTGTTTTTTGTTTTGCTTTGTTTTGTTTTGTGGTGCCAGGGATATGACCCAGGACCTCAGACATGCTAGGTAAGTGCTCTGCCACTGAGCTACAGCCCCAGCCCCTCCATATACCGGGGATCAAACTTGGGTCCTTTCACTTACACAGCAGGCGGCGAAACCACTGAGCTAAATCCCTGGCCCTCTCATATACTTTTTTTTTTTTTGGTACCGGGGATCGAGCTCTGGTCCTTGCGCTTGCGCAGCAGGCAGCGGAACCACTGAGCTAAATCCCCGGCCCCTCCCATATACTTTTTAAACTCTTTGGTAGGACTCTTTTTCAATGGCATCTGAATTGCTTTTTCTTTTTTCTTTTCTCTCTGCTTGAAGGTGAGGCCTCTGAGTGCTACACAGGATTATATAAGTAGTTCTTGTGTTTGCCATGGATCCTTGCCGTCTCCTGAGCTTCTCCTCCCAAGCCTGGCCTCACCTGGGCGGCATGTGGTGTGTTGGGAGGATTTGGTCTTTGCCAACATCCCTCAGGCCATCAGTGACTTCTTCACTTTCTCTTGCAGTTTTTGTCCTTTCAGCTGCTGACCGAGCTGGTCCACAGAGCCAACGTGTATGACACCCACGAGTTCTCAGCGCACTTTGTGTGTGGCGGGCTGTCTGCCTGTGCAGCCACCCTCACCATACACCCTGTGGACGTTCTGCGCACCCGCTTTGCAGCTCAGGGTGAGCCCAGGGTGAGTGGTTGGAGCCAGACGAGGGGGCCCAGAGAAGGAAGGTGTGTGCGAAGTAGGGTTCCTGGGTTCTGAGGGTAGCAGCGAGATGGGCAAACCCATAACCTTGGCCAGCAGTGTGCAGGGTGCCCTGTTCCTGCCCAGAACGCACAGCCTCGCTGGGAGACAGATCTACGGTGTGAAACAGAACAAACAAGTGCCCTGTGGTGGGCTGGATGAAGACAGGCATCCGGGAAAGCGAGACTCCAGAACTCTGGCTGTGTTACTCTGGGCGTGTCCTTGGCTTCCACAAAGAATAGGTTGAAAGAAATAGGAAGTGAGTCAGACTGAAGGAAGGACTTGCTGAGAGCATAGACCTCCACCACATATCTGCTTCCTAGGCATATTTAAGAATGGCATCGGGCTGGGGATTTGGCACAGTGGCACTGTGCCTGCCTCATAAGTGCAAGGTCCTAAGTTGGATCCCTGGCACCAAAAAAAATTTTTTTAAAGAATGGCATCGTGCGTGCGTGTGCGCACGCGCGTGTGTGTGTTTGTGTGGTCTCAACCAAGAAAGGATTTTCCCACTGTCTCACTTCTGCTTTAGTTGGAGGGGACGGTAGGACAATTTATTTAGAAATTTCAACTGGGATAAATTTAAGAGTCATTGCAGTTTTGTTGCTTGTGGTTCTTCACATTTGTCAGAGTGGTGATGCTGGATGGGGAGACCCTTTCATTGAGACACCTTGTCGACATTTTGATTGGGAAGGGCAAAGTCCCCTGGGAACCATCTGGGAGACAAGGGTGAAGCTTAAGTGAGATGGAAGCCGAGGGTGGTAACACTCCTGTGATCCCAGCCAGCTGAAACTTTATCTGACTTTGCAAGGAATCAGGATTAGAGAGACGATAGCAAAATTCCTCAAACCATCCAGTTTCAGTTGGCACCATAGTGAAGTCCCCCTGCCTTAATCTTTTCACAGAGAAGTTAACCTAACCGTGTTGTTCTGTCTCCCTGTCCATATCCTACAAGGAAATTAATTTTGAAGAGACCTGTCTACTCTTTCTTTCCTCTTAGAGGCAGAAAAGCAAAGTGGGAGCTCTGGGGAGGATCTTTGCTCTTGCTGGTGGCCTCCCCTTGGTGCCTGGTACAGTGGCACCACTGTCCTTTCACAGACGTCCTCCCGAGTGGCTGCAGCATTCTCAGACCTGCTGTCAGCCAGGTGTCTCACCACCGTGCAGCTGGGCCAGGCCAAAACCTCTTGGAACATTTTGAATCACATGTAAAGCTGGTCTATGTGATCTTGGTTGCAGTGGACCATGCCTATAATCTCAGGCACTTAGGAGGCTCAGGCAGGAGGATTGCAAATTTGTTTATTTATTTTTCTTTTTCGGTACTGGGGATGGAACTCAGGACCTTGTGCTTGCGAGGCAGGCCCAGCGCCACTAAGCTAAATCCCTGGCCCTTTGTGGTTTTTATTTTTATTTTTAAATTTTGAGACAGCGTCTCACTAAGTCACTGAGTTCCCTGGCCTGGGCTCAACCTTGTGACCCCCCTGCCTCACCTGCCCAGCCCGCTGGGATTGTAGCCCTGCACCACCACTCCTGGCTATGGTGACTCTTTGGAAACATTTTTGTGCACACCCTTGGAAGTTGCGTCCAGTGTTTTCCTGGCCTGTCCTCTTGGCAGAAGTTACACTGCTATTAGCTGTGTCTTTAGAGGAGGGGACCAGAGGTATGTTGGGCTGATCAGGACTGAAACTGCCTCACTGAGCTCACTCACAGTGCACATGTGCGTGTCCAGGTCTATAAGACCCTGCAAGATGCCGTGGTGACCATGTATAGGACCGAGGGCCCCCTGGTCTTCTACAAAGGGTTGGCCCCCACCTTGATCGCCATCTTCCCCTACGCTGGGCTGCAGTTCTCCTGCTACCGGTCCCTGAAGCACGCCTATGACTGGGCCATACCAGCCGATGGAAAGCAAACTGGTGAGCAGCTCCACAAGCAGATCAACCCAGCCCACACGCACATCTCTCCCTGAATCAGGAAATCATTTTCTGCCAGCTCAGGCGCCTCTGTTCCCTGTTCCTGGCCCAGTAGCATGGCCAACTGAACAGGCAAACCCAGCAGTTTAGAGTTGAATTTGTTTCTTCCAACTCTTTCCACACCCATCACTAGTCACCAAAATTTTAGTGATTGGTCCAGAGGTTTTTTTGTCTGAAACCCAACTTATAAACTGCCTGCTGGTTTTGGTTGTGGTTTTGGTTTTTTGTTTGCTGTTGTTTGGTGGGGAGGGCCATGTTCCCTCTCCAGCATGAATCTGAGTCCCTTGCCTGAGCCTGCAGGCCCTTGTGGTCTCTAGTTGCAGGACTGTTGTGTGCAGACTCATGCCCTGCTGCCCTGACCTGTCCAGCCTGCAGTCAGTTACCACTCCTGGTGCCAGTGGCTATGTCTGGCTCTGGCTCTCCTTTGAGACCCAGGGATGCTTGGGGGGTTGTGGTGAAGGATTAGTCCTAATGACCTTTAAGTCATCCATCATTAATTGCATTTCTCCCACCCTTCCCCTTAATCTTGCTTCCCTGGTTCAGGAAACCTGAAAAACCTGCTTTGTGGCTCTGGAGCCGGAATCATCAGCAAGACCCTTACGTATCCCCTGGACCTCTTCAAGAAACGGCTTCAGGTTGGCGGGTTTGAGCATGCCAGGGCTGCCTTCGGCCAGGTGAGCCATTGTCACACAGACAGTTCTGACCTTGGCACTCCCTGGGCACATGAAGGGACCAACATTCAGCTCCTTGTTTTGTTTTTTTGTTTTTTGGTACCGGGGATTGAACTCAGGACCTTGCACTTGCGAGGCAGGCGGCAGAACCACTGAGCTAAATCCCCGGCCCCCTCAGCTCCTGACCAGTGGGTACCTCTAGCCCCTGCACGCCCTCTCTAGTTTAGAGACTGTCCTCTCTAGTTTAGTTTCTTTGGATAAACACCAACTGCAAGGTTTTGTAACCTCCTCTTTCCATTTACCAGCTTGCCCTGAAGACAGTTTGAATTTGAACAGGGAGAGCATCTAGGATGGAGGAGAGAGATCCTGCTCTTTTTTTTTTTCTTTTAGTTTTTTAAAGACATGGTTTCACTGTGTAGCTCAGGCGGGCCTTGAACTGGTGGAGATCCTCCTGCCTCAGCCTCCCAAGTACTGGGATTACAGGTGTGCACCACCACGCCCAAGGAAAGAGGCTCTGCTTTTAAGGAAGACTGGTGTGCTAGTTTGGCCAGCAGTTGGGGTGAGCAGGAGAGGCTGGTGGAAGGACCAGTGGGGGCCAAGTTCAGGGAGACAGGTTGAGGCCAAATGGTGGAATGCTTCAGACACCAGGCTGGAGAACTTGGCCTTGATTCTGTGATGTCATCATCAAGGGTTACCAGAGCTTTTAGAGGGGAGCAAGGCCCTGGGGGTACGTGGATCTGGCAGTAGTTTGTGATGTTAGGAGACAGGGAGGCCAGGCTGAAGGTCCAGCGCTGGTCATGCTAAGAGTTAGCGAGTGTGATTCAGATCTGCCTGGGAGGACCAGTGGAATGAGATAAATACTCCAAAAGACCTGTGGAGGGAGGATCTGGCATTGTCACTGGGTCCTTCAGGGCCACAGTGATCCCAGCCCTCCTCAGCTGGAAGGAGCTCTGTCCAGCTGCTGACTTCCAGGCACTTCATCTGTTAAGTCTGACTTAGCCCACTTGGAATAGACAGAACAAGAGTAATTTATTTGCTGTCCATTTTGTGTTCTTTCCTTCAGCAGCAAGTATTTACTGGGAGCTGTGGTGTGCCAGGTACATCCCTATTTTTTTTTTTTGGTACCAGGGATCGAACTCAGGACCTTGCGCTTGCGAGGCAGGTGGTGGCACTGAGCTAAATCTCCAGCCCTGCATCCCTGTTTTAATCACCAACTCCTTCCTCAACCTGGCCTTCCTCTCCCTAGGTGCGGAGCTACACGGGCCTCCTGGATTGCATCAAGCAGGTGCTGCGAGAAGAAGGCGGGCGAGGCTTCTTCAAGGGTCTGTCCCCAAGCCTGCTAAAGGCTGCCATCTCCACAGGCTTTGTGTTTTTCTGGTACGAGCTCTTCTGTAACCTCTTCCACTGCATGAAGAAGGCAGACAGCTAGCCTGGAGGGCAGGAAGGCCCCAAGCTCTTCACTGGAGGCCACCTGCAAAAGAAGCAAGACTCAAACCTCGGATCTTATGTCGTGCTGAGTGGTGCTGCCTGGTCCAAGCACCAGGCTAGGTGTCCTGAGTGTGAAGTATGACTGGGAGCAGGGTGGCAGTCTTGACCTATCCGCTGGGACACCACCAGAAGGGCAAGGTCTTTCTCCATGAAAGAACAGCAGCACCCTGGACTCCGGCTGTGGGGCCAGTGGCAGTGGGAAGCAGCTTGTGGTTGTTTCTCCTCTATCCAGCGCAAACCCAGAAGGATCAGCTGCCATCCTCCCTTCACAGCCGGCCTGCTGGGGGCTCTCACAGTTCTGGAAGGGGCGGAGGCGTTGGTGCAGAAGGCTGGGCTGGGGCTCTTTCCAAGAGTCTGGTCCCCACACTTGGGCTTTTCCCCATCCACTTATTTAAAAGACATTAAAGCAAAAAGCACATTCCTCATCTTACTCTTCCATCTTCCTTTTGGTTTTTTTAAGACAGGGTCTCGCTATGTGGTCCAGGCTATCCTTGACTTTGCAGTGATCCTTTTGCCCCAGCCTCCTGAGTGCTGAGATTACAGTCTGCCAACAAGCCTGGCCTCTCCCACCTTCCTGTACCATCCACATCCTTGTTCAGAAAGGATGAGGAGGCCATGCATGGTGGCTCATGCCTGTAATCCCAGTACTTGGGAGGCTGAGGCAGGAGGATCATCAGGCTGGGCTACATAGACTGTGTCTCCAAAAAAAACCAACGAAGAATGAGGAAAGGGACCCTGGCTTCCTTGAATTCCTGGCCCAGCAGTTGCAGCTGATTCCTAGACCTGGAGGGAGGGTCCCAGCTGAGCCTCCCAGGCCCTGTCTCTGTGTCTGTAAAGGCTCTACAACAGGCCAAGCCCCGAATGAAGCCCAAAAGAGCAGGCAGGTGCTGAGCAGGAGGGCTTGAGGTGCAGCCCTTCCCCCAGATGGCGCCCCTCACAGGGCACCAGGTGGCAGGCATGCCGACTCAGTGTCCTCCTAGGCTCAGCATGGCACTGCGTGTTTTCTCAGTGACCCCAGAAGGGCCATGGCCCTGAAGCAGCCCAGTGACAGGGATGGGAGAAGGAAAGGACTAGGCAGATTGCCAGGGGCACAGTTGGCACCCAGGGGGTTACCAGAGCCCTGGGATCTACACGTGTACCTAGATGCAGAGGAGAAATGGGTTACAGGGGTATGAGGGAAGAAAACACGGAACATGACTGCCACCCTCCTGCCCTTGTGTGCTTGTGGGCTTGGCTGGTGGTGGTTACCTTGCCCTCTCCCAGAGCTCAGCTCCAGCTCCTGCACTTACTTCTGCCGGGAGTGACCCCAGTGTGGCTGCTCCCCCTCCTGCCAGTGAGCTCTTGGCCCCTTGTCACCTTCCATCTGGACCCTGGCTATTGATTCTGAAGGTCCAGGTTGTGGCTGGAGGGAACTCCATGGCCCACAGGATCTTGGCATAGGAGGCCTGGGCAGCTGTGTGATTTTTTTTTTTTTTTTGGTACCAGGAATTGAACTCTGGTCCTTGTGCTTGGGAGGCAGGCGGCGGAACCACTGAGCTAAATGCAATGCCCGGCTAGCTGCCTGATTTTTGTTGCTTTTTGTTTCAGTGCTAACCCAGGGCCTTAGGAGGAAGGAGGCAAGTGTTCCACCACTGAGCTATATCCCCAGTCCACATCTCAATGTATTTTTTTATGAAATTCCACTGAAGGTTTATGCTCCTCTTGTTTTGGTTTTGTTTTTTGTGGTACCAGGGATTGAACTCAGGGCCTTGTGCTTGCAAGGCAGGCGCAGTACCACTGAGCTAAATCTCCAGCCTAGGTTTATGCTCCTCTTGCTGCAGTTGAATTGTCCGAAAATGGACAACAGAAATGTGACCGCTTTGGCATCTCTTTAACAGGAGGAGGGAACTTTGGCCATGCAAGTCCACCATCATGGCTTGTCCTGAGCTGTAAGGAACAAGGAAAGAGGACATTAACAGAAACCCAGCAGTGACTCCTGGTCTCCTGTGAGTCAGGACTGCTCAAGCCAAATTAATTTATAAAGACAGGAAATGAGACTTGGAGAAGAAGCTGAGCTTTGGGCCTTATCAGTGCTGCTCTGGGCAGCAAACACGAAGCAACCCCAAGCTGCCACACCTTTATTCCGTACATCCGGAGTAACAGATGACTCAGAGGGTGGCGATAATCCTAGGACAATGAGGAACTTAGGCAGATGAAGACCCAAGGTGGATGAAGAACTTATCTTGATTAGGAATTTGTCCCTCCCCAGGTGAAACCTTTCTCTTACTACTCAGTTCTCAAGGAACCACAAAATGTCTTCAGGTGATGCAATCCTGCCCTGGAGCGTCACAGCATCACAGGACCATTGAGGTCTTAGCTGTGACCGGAGGCAGAAGAGTTATGGCTCCACAAGCCATAGCCACTCTGTAGGCAGGAAAACTAGGCCTAATCATAATTTAATTGTGAGATCATTTTCCCCCCCAAATTATGTAGAATTACACCTGACAAGGAGCCAGCAGCGAAGCTCATCCAGCAGCATTACCCTAACCCCCCCAAGAAAGATGGAGGAGCACCCTGTTATCAACTATCCCTTAGACTGACTGCCCCTTGGATTTGAAACTTAGCTGCCAGAGCATTGGAGCAGGACGGCGAGTGAGATCGGCCCCAGCCCTTAACGCCTCCCCACTCCGCCTTCTCTACCTTGGCTGGGGAGCGTAGACAGGCGCAGGTGAAGATGCTACCCAGACAGCCCCAGACCCGCTGCCCTCCGCGGGCTCCTCCCACGCCACGCGGGCTGGTGAGTCTCCTCCGACCCAGGTCGCCTGAGCCCCGCCACGGAGACCGATGGAGTGACGGGGCGGGGTCTCACCGTGCTTTACCGAGGGTGAAGCGGTCCACCCCAGTGCGCTCGCTCGAGCCGTCACGGTCCTGTTGAGGGCCAGAGCGCGCCGGGTGAGGAGGGGACAGCCCAGGGTGAGCGTCTCCCGACGCGGTGGTGGCAGTGTTGCCGAACTTTCCCGACAGTCCCCGCCTCGGCCTTACACCCGGCGTAGTGCCAGCAGCGGGCGGGACGCGAGGGCGGCTCTTTGCACGCCAGGTGGCGCTGGCGAGACGACCTGCCACGCACCGCGCCAGGCGATGATCTCAGCGGCCCCGCGCACGGGCGCTCGCGCCATGCCCGCCGTAACCCCTGGGCACACGCGCGCGACGCCCTCCCGGCAGGTGGGGTCAGGCGCTCTCCCGCCTCCCCCGCGGTGGGCCTCTTCTCAAGCGGGCTCCGCAGCGGGCCTCGCGCCGCGGGGAAGGGCGTCCCGGGCTTGGGAAGACTGCTGAGGTTTGAAGACCCCTAAGGTCTAAGGTCGCTTGCTGTGGCCAGAGGAAAGGCATCGAGTCCCGAGAGGGAACTCCAGCGGGAACCACCCTTTAAGGGGAAGGATCCAGAATGCAGCCTAGGAATTGGGAGTCCCGAGTGGGTAGGGCCGGGTTTCTGCCACTCGGGAGCCCAGTTTAACCAGTCGAAGCTGGCCGGCACAGTAGGAGTTCCTACTCCGAGCGACAGCGGCGGCCGACGAGGCTCCGACACTCGCCCGAGCTGGTCGGCCGCAGCCCGACGGCTGCAGGGGTGGGTTTTGTGGACTGAGAAGGATTCTGTCGAAAGCCGGGGGAGAAGGTTGGAGGGAGGGGCTGGGACTTACGCTGTTGTAGAGCGATCCCCAGCTTAAAGCCTTCAGCCTGTCACCAGCCCGGAATCTAGCTGAGCTAGCAGCTTCCGGGCGGGTTTGTATAGGGAAGTCTACACCTCCAGCTCAGTGTATCCTGCCCCCAAATCTACCTGACAGCGGCTGAGAACAACCTGCCTCCTACTGGGACCGGAGGGTAGGTGCATTTACCCTTCATCTTTTATCCCAGAAGCCTGGGGTTTCCTAAGCTTGAGCAGCAGGTGTCTCAGACTCCACCAGAAGCCGAGTTTTGCGGGCTGTCAGCCAGCCACCGAATGCCGTGGACCGGTGCGCCTGTCCCAAGCATTGGCTGGCCCCACCCAGGGAAAGCAGGACTGGGAACTGGAGGCCCCGTGCTGCACATCTGAGGCCTCTCCCTTCTCTTCTCTTCCTCAGGTGCTATCCTTAGTCCCAGCCCAGTGAAGAGCTGCTGGGGCTGGGTAGTCATGGGGGAGGCCGGTAGAGAGGAGTATAAAATCCAGTCTTTTGATGCAGAGACCCAGCAGCTGCTGAAAACAGCACTCAAAGGTGAGCACGGGAACCCTTGGGAGCCAGGCAGGAGCTGCAGAGAAGGAGCTGAGCCCCAGGGCCAGGGAATGCCCAAGCCCTCTTCTCCCTTCACTTCCTGAGAATGCAAGTCACAACCTAACTCTTGGACTGGAAAGACAAGCTACCTTTGGGCCAGTATTTGGGAGGATGAATCACAAAGTCATCTCTCACACGGTAAAGCCTTGTTTAAAAGTACTCACAAGGGCTGGGGATTTAGCTCAGTGGTTCCACCGCCTGCCTCTCAAGCTAAGGACCGGAGTTCGATCCCTGGTACCAAAAAA